TTGGAAACACTTGGTTGAATTTCCTAGCAATAAGCTTACTGAAAAATTGAATGAGTTTAATAAATGATATAAAATTGGAGCACCTGGATGGCTCAATAGGGTTAAACATCCGACTTTGGCTCTGGTCATGATCTCATGATTCATGGGTTCAAGCCCCACATTGGGCTCTGTGCTGACAGTTAGGAGCCTGGAGCTTGTTTCAGATTCCATGTCTCCCTCTCTTTCTGCCCTCCCCCTTGCACTCTCTCTCTCTCTCTCTAAAATAAACATTAAAAAATTTTTAATAATAAAATGAATGAATGAATGAATGAATGAATGAAGGTATAAAACCTTCAACGGAGGGAGAGGCATTTAATAGGGAAGAGGCATACCAGATTATGCAAAAGGAAACAAAAGATAGAGTACCCTTTCAGAGGAAGATTTCACTCCAGAATTCACTAATGGGGAAGGTACACTGCCCAAAGACAAATGGTAGTGAGAATTTTTATTTAAAATTCACTGGAGAGGCACTTGGGTGGCTCAGCTGGTTAAGCATCTGACTTTGGCTCAGATCATGATCTCACAGTTTGTGAGTTCAAGCCCCAAATTCGGCTCTCTGCTGTCAACGCGGAGCCTGCTTTGAATCCTCTGTCTCCCTCTCCCTCTGCCTCTTTCTCTCAAAAATAAAGAAACATTTAAAAAAAGAATTCACTGCAAACAAATCAAAATATGAACTCTGAGGATAACTAAAGGCTGGGTAAGAAAATGAATCTGATTTAAGATTTAATCAGTGAAATACACAATGAGAATAATGTCAGGGTAGAAAGATTTTGTGAGTGTATCATGAAATAGGTCACAACTTAAGACTACTTATCCTGTTTAAAAATGTAAAAGCTGCAACTGGAGATGCAGAAGCATAAGGAACTTGAAACTAAATGATGAAATACTGATACACTTTGGAAAAGAATTTGATGTTCTGATTTGGTTCCAGATTAACTACTTTAGGAAATATATTAATTCAGATTCCAATTTAAGTAATACAATAGTTCTTTTTTTTTAATCTAAAAAGTTTTAATTAAAAAAATTAATGTTTGTGTTCAGAGCAGTTTGGCATTCTACCGGTTACTGTATTCCATTAACACTAGACAATTTGATCCAGTTCAAGGTCCTAGAAGATACTGTCTTAAGCAACAGGCAACCATATCAACCATATCAAACTGGGAGAAAATGAATCAGCCTTCTATTCAAGGAAAGAAAAACTGCTCAGAAGCAAGCAAAAGTTGAAAGTGGTTGCCTGAGATGGGAGATGGAAAAGCAAAGAGCTATTGTTTCTCTTGTTCATCTTTTAGCATGCTTCTAATTTTTAAAATTATGTTCATGGGGCGCCTGGGTGACTCAGTTGGTTAAGTGTCCGACTTAGGTTCAGGTCATGATCTCATGGTTAGTGAGTTTGAACCCTGCGTTGGGCTCTGCACTGACAGTTTAGAGCCTGAAGCCTGCTTCAGATTCTATGTCTCCCTCTCTTTCTCTGCCCCTCCCCTGCCTGTGTGCTCGCTCACTCGCACTCTCTCTCTCTCTAAAATAAACAAACCTAAAAACTAAACTAAAATAATGTTCACGTATTTTGATTTTAAAAATTACTATTTTTGAGAGCTTTTATGTTTCCATTTCTTTAATTACTAGAAGAATTAAACACTTTTTCATGTGTTTATGGACCATCCAGTTCTATTTAGTGAACTGCTCATCACACTTTGCCCATTTTTAATAGGGTTATCTTTATTTTCCAAAATATTTGAAGAAATTATTTGAATTAACACAAGATAGTCACTGACATTATCTTCAATTTCTAAAACATAAGCATAAAACATAAAATGCACATATGAATTTGCTATTTTCTGAATGTGTCCCCTCAAACTTTTATGTTGAAATCTTAACCCCTAAGGTAACAGTATTAAGAAACAGAGCCTTAAGAAGCCTCATGAATGAGATTAGTGCCCTTGTAAGAGACCCAAGAGCTCTTCCTTGACTCTTTTTCAGCCATCTGAGAATACAAGAAGTCTATGATAGGAAAAGGGTCCTCACCCAACAATGCTGGCACTCTGATCTTGAACTTCCAACCTCCAGAACTATGAGAAATGTTTATAACTCACCCTGTATATAAGTCATTCTGTAGTATTTTGTTATAGCAACACTAATGCACTAAGAAATGAATCTACCTCAAAAAATTTCATCAAATAAACAGGAGTGGGGTAGTATGTAAGCAATCTCTTCAAATTGTATGGAATTTGCATTATATTTCAATAAAGCTGTTAAACAAAAAGAACAAACAAAAATGAAAGGAAGGAAGGAAGGAAAAAGAAATCTCTTTTCACTGTTCTAAACAGTAAGTACAATTCATTTCAAATAACCAAGGAAAATACTGGTCTCTTCTCTCAAAAGCAGTCAAAGCAAATTTAGAGTAGAATGTTTGGAAATCTCAAGTTTGCTGCGAACAATTTATCTCAAAAGCACTACCACAAATTTACAATATGGGAGGCACCCACCTAGATACACAGAAAATAATGGTGAGGAGGGACTGGTGAAATGATAGAAATAGCCAATAACTGAACAGCATGGTGATTATAGTCAATAATACTATATTGCATACTTGAAAGTTGTTGAGAGTAGATCTTAAAAGTTCTCATCACACACAAAAAAGTTTTGTAACAATGCATGGTGACGAGGTTAGCTAGACTTATTGTGGTGATCATTTCACAATATATACAGATATATCAAATCATTGTTGTACACCTGAAACAAATATAATGTTACATGTCAATTATAACTCAATAAAAACAATGAGGGACACCTGGGTGGCTCAGTCGGTTAAATGCACAACTCTTGACTTTGAGGTCACAATGTCATGGTTCATGAAATCAAGCCCCACATCAGACTCTACACTGACGGCATGGAGCCTACTTGGGATTCTCTCTCTCCTTCTCTCTCTACCCCTTCCCTGCTTGTTCTCTCTCAAAATAAGTAAATAAACTTAAAAAAAGATAGTTAAATAAGCCAATAACTGATCATTTTTTTTTTTTTTTTTGAGAGATTAAGAGAGAAAATGCAAGTGGGAGAAGGACAGAGAGAGAGAGGGGGAAAAAGAGAATCTTAAGCAGCCTCCACACCCAGTGAGGGACTTGATCTCACAACCATGAGATCATGACCTGAGCCCAAATCAAAAGTTGGATGCTTAAATGACTGACCTACCCACTACCCCTGATCTTTTTCATACCAAGATAATGCTATTGGCCCACTGGCATAATAGAGCAATTTGGGCTATCTTTCATCATACATAGTTTAATCTAAATGTTCCCCCTTTATCCCTTCTATGGGGAGAAATTTTACAAGATGTTTAGTTTGGAGATAGAGAGGCAATCTACATAGTGAGAAAATTTAACAAACCTATATTTCCCAGAAGGTAACTGACTCTTGATGGAGGCATTCTGAGCAAGTTGGCCTAACCAATAAACTAAACCAATAAAGAAAATGTAGAAACAAAGATTAAATGTAACAGGGAAACAAGATTTAGCATGAAACCTGACAGGCAGAAAAATTCAGCTAAGTTGTTAAAAGAAAATACTGTTAAAATTGGCAAATAATTGTTTACTTTTTTGCAGTAAAAATTGTCATTTTGGGGAAATGACTTATCTTTGAAATAACCAACAACGTAAAATGAAGTATCATCAAAATACAACTTTAATCTAAAAATATTCTGACTTGGAAGTCTATCTTATAACAACAAAAATAAACTTTAGAGAAATTTTTGTAAGGAAAGGAAGCCATGTGCAACCAGTGGCCAATGGATCTTTTTGGTGGGCCTTTATGCAATGATAAACACCTGTGACTTCTTCCCATGGTCTCAAGTTGCCACTGACCTGAAATGCCATCTTGAAAATATACCAACTTTGATATATTTGTGTATGTTTTGGAGCTTTCTTACTCTGTTCCACTTCTGAGAGTTTCTCAGTATTATTCAATATTACAAGAATGAGTTGTTGATGGGGTGCATGGGTGGCTCAGTTAGTTAAGTGTCCAATTTCAGCTCAGAGCCTGGAGCCTGCTTCAGATTCTATGTCTCCCTCTCTCTCTGCCCCTCCCCTGCTTGCACTGTCTCCCTCTCTCTCTTTCTCTCTCTCAAAAATAAATAAACATTAAAAAAAAATTAAAAAAAAAAACAAGAATGACAGTTGTTGGATGTTGGGGGAGAAAGTTAACCTATCTTGCTTTTAAGAAAGAGAACAAAGAACAGTGCTAAAAGCAAAGTGACATAACAATTTTAAAAACTAATAATCCATGTCATTTGAATGTATAAGCCTTCAAACAATTTTTAAAAACCTGAAATGAAAAATATAACATGAAAAAATTACCTTGACTTTGCTTTTGTTTTCTTAATAAAAGATGGAAACC